ATAACTTTTTGGTATAAACCAGTTTTCCCTGCTTGTAAAGACATATTGTCAGGTGTTAGAACAGTACCTGCTGAAACACAGTCAGGTATGTGAAGATTTCTAAAAGGGAGCATTCACAGCCTCATTTTCCATATCAGCAGCATCGATTAGCAGTAAGTGATTATTCTTTTCTTTTACTCGAGGTTTCTCTCCCCTCTGCAGCGTCTGGCTGAAGATTTTGCCCCTGAGGTGAAAAAATCAATTTCGTCTGTATTGTCCCCTCTTCTTAAAGACCCTCCTCATCAGAGGGACACAGTGCTGGCAGCCTGAAACACATGACCTAGATAAGCAACAGCATGCAGTGGAGAGGAAGGATCAAAGGTTGAGTGGGTGAACACTAGGAAGGCTAAACTACTGCCGCCCCCGCTGATGCCCTTCACAGGGAGCCACAGAAGTCCTCTGGCGATGCTTCCTGGTTTAAAGGTCAGGGGTATATCTGGCTTTAGGTTTCCGGGGATCTTTGGGGATGAATAACATTTAAAGTTTTCATATTCAGTATATGAAATGACCTTGTACTCGACCGTGTGCGACCTAAGTAAATGAATGTTGATTTGATTCAATGATATGCATCTTGTGTTTAAATTCAGGTGCACACTCTCTGACCATGCATCAACAAAAAAATACATAAATATGAAAGTGTTTCCTGACTTTCTGCCAAACATCTTAATTGACATCAACATGACTGATGAGGTGTGTCAGATTTGAAATATTCATTAATCTCAGGTCTAAATCAATATTCAGACTCCGCTGTGAGTGTAAGAGCAGCTCAGAGATGAACGTTTTTTCCGGTTGTCAAAAGTTGTCGGAGGTACTCTGCAGGTGTGAAGTCTCCGAGTCAAATCCAGACTCTATTTTCTCTGTGCACTTCAATCAGCCTCCTGGGATCTGAGAAGTCATAATTTAAAAAAAAGGCAAAAAAGCTGAAGTCAAAATATGTAAAAGGATACTTTTCCTTGATAATCTTTGGACAACATAGTCCCTCAATTTTCTTGTTTTGGTCAAAATCTGCTTTTTAATCTGCTTTTTTTCTAATTCAACGTCGGTCTGTTCACTGCTGGAAAATGAGAAAGGAGATGCAAAAAAAAAAAAACAATGATTAGAGGTTTATAGACTTAAAAACTGAAAACTGTGACAGAGAAATCTACAAAACTGAAGATGGAAATGTTCAGTTTAATGTGAGCTAGGTTAGCTTGTTATAAGAAATGATCAACAACCCACTCACTTTACGTTATCCCTTACATAAATATCCATCAAAGAGATCTTTTTAACCATCAGGCCAATATTCCAAATCAATGAAACTAATGACATGTCTTTGTATGCCTTTGTATGTGTCACATAACTCATATGCAGACATGAAACACCCGTGTCTCTGTTTACTCTAAAACATTGTAGATATGCAACAGATCCATAAACATGTTTACCATCAGATCTTTTTGTCAGGTGTATTTCATTTGGTTCGCACAAACCAGAATTATATTTATCAGAATGGATGTCAGAGACGTTTTTTTTTTTGTGAGTGGGTACGTGAAAAGGGTTTAAATCTCACCAATTTCCTCATAAATATTCCTCAGGAGCGCAATGCCATGCAATCATCACCTTTGCACCACATGACTGTGGATTAATCAGATCCTGAGGTGAGGATTTCTAAATACAAATGCACATCTCTTCATGGGTGAACGTGCCAATATAGCTTTCCAAAGACGTGTGAAAGGACAGTAATAATCATTGACAAACATGATGTCTATATGAGGAGCACCAGAGGGGCACCTGGGCTGCTCAAGTGCCCCTCTTCTGTGAAAATGAAGCATTGAAGTGTGACATGAGGGCCCCGGCATGCCGCGTCCTGCTAAATAAAGCTATGAAAGAGGAGGCACTTATGAAGTCATAGCAGCACTTTGTAGTGTCCTCAAGCAGTGATGCGGTGATAAATTTAAAGTCCCCGTCCACTCAAAAACAGGCGTCTTGTCACTTGGTGGGGATGTCTGACCTTCACTGAGCAGAGTGATGCATGTGCACAGTTTGACAGTAGAAGGCTGTTTTCTCATCCTTCTGCTGTAGGAGGAAAGTTTCTCTGTGTTCACCTTTAATCTGACTTTAACTTTTATTAATGAGCAAGTTTTGCAACTAGTTCAGAGGGAAACGGTTGTCCGGTGTTCCCATATTGGAAAGTGTAGTATATTATGTTCAAGGATCATAGTTGAAGAGCACATAAGTAATATGCTGCATTTATTAGTGGTGGGAATTTCTCAACTGGTGGATCGGGACCCAGAAGTGGGTCGCAGAGCCATTTTCAGTGGGTCTCGAATCTGTGCTTGAAAAAATATTGTGTCAAAAAGTTTTGTTTTCATTTTTTTGTCACGTTTTTTTTTGTTGACTGCCGTAGATCCAAACAGCAACATTTTTCACTGAACAAATCTGACTGGTTAAAAAATATCTGAAATTGAGTTTGCAATTTTTTACACGAGGGAGTTGTTGGTGGGTCCTGAGGCTAGACCAGTTTGAGAACCACTGATCCAGATCATCTATCTGTGCTTAAAATCAGAGCCGGCACCTTTAGCTTTGTGACACCTCTTCTTTTGGTACCATTTGGGCTTCAATTAAAACAGTTGCATTTGAATGAAGGAATTCATATTTTAATTGGTCATTCAGTAAAACAACAAGTCAAAAATGTGAGTAAATATTCCACTAACAGATACAAAATCACCCCACTTTACATGTTTACACTGGTCCATTTCACACAACCAATTCAACATATCAATGACCAAAAAAAGGAATAGTCTAAAACCCGTAAGGCTTCTTTCTGCTTGTATCCCACACAATCTGTCACACAACTCTGAACATCAGCAATACAAAGAAGAAAACAACAAAAGCTGACTCTAAATCTATTCTTAATTATTAAACATGTTTGAATCATAATTAGTTTAAATATTTTTTGAGAGTTAGATCCCAAAACTGGAACATATCTGTATTTTAAATGGGTTCTTGCTTAACATGTTTCAAACATACATGTCCCTCTTAAATTATGATGTCATTCTCTTAATTAAAGTAAAAACAGGAAATGTTTTATTTTTAGATCAGTAAGTATTTCTAATGTTTTTGAATACACAATATCTAAAGACACAAGTGTGCAAGACCCTATGAATGATGGATTAGTAGAAATGTATTCACCATGATGAATATGTGTGCATGTATTTTACTTTAATTTTTCCTTTTGTCATTATATTAAAATGTAAACTTTCAGAATTCAATATGTGACATGTTTACCTGCTGTCTGCACACTGTGATCCACTCGTCTCTGTCTGTGTTCATCCCCCTACCCCAAAGTTATTTTGTCCCAGTGTGGCAGCCGTAGTAGTAAAGTCAAGCATGATTCATTTTGGAAGTTTTGAATATGATCTTACTCAGTCACAATGTGATATACATTCATGTACAAAGGCACCTGTATTATTTAATCAGGTTTTTTTGTGGTTAAAGATGAGTAAGGTTCACACGGGAACTTTTGGAACAGCTTTGGGGGTCTTTGTTGCCATGTGTCATTCAGTATATCAAGATATCTGGTAATATGCAGCCACGCTGATTTGATGGGCTTGTGTTTCTGCATTTACAGGAGAGCAAAAGTGACTAAACAATGTATAAACAAAGCCACACAAATGTGCATTGAATATACGAGAGAGACAGACTTCTGTTACTGCAAATAAGATGTGTTATGTTGAAGTTTTTCAAGTTATTTGATTGTCTGTGAAGTGTCACACCTGCTGTGTTTTGATAGTTTTGAAGAGAGAATTACAGAGCAAGTGGACATTCAGCGCATTGTGTTTGAATTAGAAAGTGTGTTAGACACCTGCGTTATTCAGTGGATCTAAGTCTGCTATTATGCAGCCACACTGAGTTGATGTGTTCTGTGTTTCCAGAGAACGAAGGAGAAGTTTATTATTAATCCCATGCACACTTGGAAGTCCCTTTTTAGTGTCCATTTGTGCCACAATAGCATCTGATTGGACGCACGACACACATTGACACATCATTCAGTCAGTACGTGGTGTGCCTGTGGCTGAGCCGTGTGGAGAAAAGACCTTCATTATGTTGTGCATTGAATAACAGTGAAGAAGGGGGAAAAGGAAAGGTGCTCTCAAACAGGAGCTGCCTCCCATCGCTCACATAAAAGAGGCACAATAGTAAATGACACATCACTAGTATTATTACCAAAGGGGGCCACCAGGCACAGACACGGGCACGAGAGGTCAAGAGATCCCTGGGTTCACCTCAGAAATCTCTCTGAAAGAATGATGACACAACGTGACAAATAAGAGACTTCAAAAGACTGCAAATAGACGGAGAAAAACATCAACAAAGAGAGACCAAATAACAACAAATAGGTACAAAACAACTGCAAAGAGAGACCAGATAACACCAGACCTAAAACAACTACAGAGGAAAGAAAATTACAAATAATGTGCTCAAAAGGTACAGAGATGTACAAAACAAGGAGAAGTAAAAATGACAGTGGACACAAAGAAACAACGGGAGATGGAACACAAATAGACACAGAAAAGTATTTCAAAACAAACACAAAACAACAGCATGCTGAAAATACAAAACAATATACTCAAAACACTACTTAAGACACGTATCAGAGACCGAAAAGTGCCAAAAATGACACAAAACCGATAAAAAACCCACAAAATTACAACAAAAGGAACAAATCAACTACACAGAGAAATAAAACTAATGTTATCGTACAGGCTACAGAGAGATTCTGATCAATCTGAAATACTTTTTCTATTCCTACTTTTTAAGGGTGTGAGGGGTGGGGGCTCCTGTATGTGCCTGGGGGGCCCATTGTTTCTTGATGTGCCCCTGAGTTTATCCTCTGCAGCCCTGCTCAAATGCAAAGAAACGTGAGACTTTGGTTTCTTTTAGATGTGTGCTCCTGTACAGCTGCATTAAGAGTTTGGAATGCAAACAGCAGCTCTGCTTTCTGTCTGCGCTGAAAGCAGAGCTGGGACTCTCTTCAGGAACTCTGAGCTCCTCCACCATCTCAGTCCGGGGAGGCGTTTCTTTCGTCTCGGACCCCCAACAGTCTCCCTGCTCTTCTCCCTCCATCAGTTGGCGGAGGGCAGGCGGTGTGAGCGCATCCTCCCCCATCAGGAGCCGGACTGCCCCTCCACACTGAGGCAGAAGGAGTACACACTGCAGCGCAGCGCAGCGCACCGGAGCGGAGCTGGAGGAGGAGGAGGAGGAAAGCAGAGGAGAGCAGCGATCAGGAGGAGAAAAAGGAGGAAGAATAAGAAGGACGGACTGTCTTCCCCTCCGACAGGCTGGATTATACTCTGCAGCATCCCATCGCTTCATCATGCCTATGGGGAGTGAGAGAGCCGCGGGGATTAGCGCGCTGATCGGCGCGCTGCTGCTCGGCTCCTGTGGGACAGGTGCGCAAG